TTAAGTATGGCTGATAAGTCCAACAGCCGATGTGGAAGTTCAATAAAAGAAAGACAGGAGTGATAAGCAGGCCACATCCACTAATAATTGCCATCCTCCACCAATTTCCACCATCACACTACACTCATCCATCTCCTCCTACCGATAGCATCCCTTTCCGACCTCTCCATTTGATTCCCCGGGTTCGTAGCTTTCTCCCAATACCAAATTTGTCCCAAATGGTTGAGATTTGAGCGAGTGGTGGGTGTGAGAATCGTAAAATTGGCCCATGTGCAGGGTTAGACGTCCTGGAAAGTGTCTGCAAGAGTCCCCATGTCAATTGGATCTTCATTCGCATCCTTTGTGATTTTTCTGAATTTTTCTGAGCACTCCAGAGTGCATTTTGGGTGTTTGTTTACTTCAGTACAGCTTGTGATTTCCATTTTGGGCCGAAAACCTGTTTTGCAATCTCCCGAAGTACGGATCTCGGCTCTGCCCCATGGGACTTTCAACACTGCCACCCTCATGTGCCTTTCGACATTGTGCGGAACCTCACAGTAAGATGAGAAATTGTCACCACCATTGTTCCACAACAGCTGGGTTGATCTGGATGAAATTTGGGGGATCCATATTTATGATTTTTCTCTATTTTCTGAGCCCTTGATCGTCTTTCGGCAGCCAGTAGTGCCAAGCATAGTTTTTGGGCTGGACCAATTCAGTACCAGCACATTATGTGCAATTGTACTCCATAATAAAATGAAATAAAATGTTTTTATGCACCATTGGCATTGGTAGGTGATCATCGCATATGGGGAATCCTTAAGGAACGTAAACCGCAAAAATACTGGCAGTGTAAGGTATAGTAGGTTATCCCACCTACAATGCTGAGCCCAGACCTTGCAGAAATCCTGGAGAACCCACATGGAGTTTCAGGATCAAGAGTGTAGTGAAGTCTAGTCAAGAAAGTAGAGTTTGGAGAGTTTGGCCCCCATGAGCTTAGTTGGCATAGAGAGCTGTGAGCCCTCTTTCAGCACCAGTGGGAGTCAAGGACCTTCTTGACTTCGTACTCTTCTCCCCCATCTATGATTTTGGGGCCTGGGTGGGGGTCGGTGGGTTGTTCGGCAATCACATCTGGGTGGTAGGGTTGGATGTTTGTTACTGACACCACTGGGTGGACTCCTTTTTGTTATGCTGTGAGTCAGAGCTTGACAGCAGCAGGGGCTCAACCTCGAGAATCTTAAAGGGGCCCATCCATTTGTGATCTAGCTTCTTGGTCGGATGGTCCATGGTGTAGTTTTGTGTGAGGTCTTTGGGGTTGCTCAGCACACCAGTCTGTAAGTGTTACAATGGTGTGTAATTTATGGTAGTGTTAAGTGGTAACCAGAAGTTGCCACTTAACCACGTGACTCTAAGTGATGCATACATGGTTAAGTGTCAGAGACCAGCCAGATCAGGACCGCACTGGAGCCTCTTTGCCAAAAGGCCGACATTGACTGACCACTCAGTCAACTTGGATCCTGATATTTATACAGGTGCTAAGATGCCACTTTCACACTACTGTTAGATATGGGTCCGGGGTTGGCACTGAGGATCACTGTTGTGGGCTGCTATAAGCCATGATGCTGTGAACAAGGCCTGAGGGTAGGGCATTCAGCCTCAGTGACTCCATCAGCAAAAAATTGTTATGCTCCTGAGTGCTCCGGAGTATGGGGAGCACTGGGAGAATCAGGAGGAGATTGGCCGGTCCAGGAACAGCTCATTTCCTCCAGAGTTGGTCAGGTACTCCAGGGCACTCCCAGGAGGGCATGGAGCATTGCTTTGTGCACAAACATATCCAGTAAATACAATTTAATGCTTCAAAATGTATAGGGGTGAGAAGCTTCTGGGAGCTCCTGGAGCATTTGAAAATGAAAAGGAAAAAAAAGAGGGAAGACTCCCCATGAATACCTCCTACCACAAGACTAACACAACAAGACACTACTTAACATTTAGACCAAACACTATACTATACATCAAAGACACTGAGACTCACCAATACACAGTCAAAATTTATGGCCTGATATATGATTAATCTGGCAGCTTAGTCACTTTCGGACTTGCAGAATATGGAGGAGGGGGAAATGGGGGAGAATGAGGGGGGAAATGAGGGGGGAAATGAGGGGGAGAAATGAGGGGGAAATGAGGGGGAGAATGAGGGGGGAATATAGAGGGAAATGAGGAAAATTTGAAAAATAGGGACTTCTAAAAAGTTGAAAAAATAATTAGGGGAAAAATCAAAAAAAATTCAGGAACTGTAGTGCCTTTGAAGTGCTTTCAGGATATATAATTATTTGCGAAATTGAGGAAGAAATGACGGAGAAAAATGGAAAATACTTTCGGAGACCCGAGAAATAATGAGAACTGAATTGATGGGAAAGTCTGAAAATTGAATGGGAAAGTGAGGGGAAGCCTTGTAGCATTGTTATTTTCTGCTGTTCTAATTTTTCCTGATTCTTCTTGGTCTCACTCTGCTCCTGGATACTCCTGGATACTCCTGGAAGCTCCTGGGAGGGTCCAGGAGCAGCTAATGGAAAATACTTTCGGGGACCCAAGAAATAATGAGAACTGAATTGAAGGGAAAGTCTGAAAATTGCATAGGAAAGTGAGGGGAAGCCTTGTAGCATTGTTATTTCTGCTGTTGTGATTTTTCCCGATTCTTCTTGGTCTCATTCCCAGCTGCTCCTCAATACTCCTGGAAGCTTGTCAGGGCACAAGCCCTGGGCCCCCATTACATGTAGTCCCATTGTAGATTAGTGTCATGTGACAGGCAACAGGTTGAAACCTATCGCTTATCACCCTGTAATACCCACACCTTTGTGACACTTATGGCCTGGTGACCTGAGCAAGCCCCACAGACCTCACACTTTTTTAAGTGCATGAGGTGTGATTAAAACTAATCTACACATCCTTTTTACATCTGTTCCAGGGACAGCGCCTGACATGGCACCGTCATACCCCCAAACAGGGAAGCTCGCATCTGCAGCGAGAACAAAGGGTGGCTTTGTTAAAAAGCTGCAATCTCCCAATTTGGGAGATAACCTAAACACTGTGTCATCGGATGATGACAAAGACCTGCCACATATTGGTAGGACCTCAGGGGCAAACCCTGAGGATCCCAAAAGCTTACATGGGGTAAATGCAGGGAACAATACCCTTAGAACCCCATGTGCCAACATGATCTCTCCTAGAAAAAGAGAGTTCTCACCACTGGGTGAGGAGGCAAACATGTGCACACGTAAGCACGTGGCTGCCACACTAACAGCCTTAAGGGCTGGGTCAGACACGCCAAAAGAAGTCCCTGAGCCCCACTATCCTCAGGGAACCTCTCACTTGGTGCAAGACACTGACAAAAACAGCAGTAACTCCTGCTGGTGCAGGGGGCCATTTGTGGCCCCAAGCAATGTGGAAAAATTGTCCACATTGTCTCGAGTCACCTGCATGACATCCAGCTTGCAAGATTGCAGCAGGCCAGTTCACTCCCAAGTCTATTTGACTGGGGGTTACACAAAACCATCAAACAGCAACTCCTGCCAGCACAGGGAGCCGTTTTTGATCCCAAAAAATGTGGAAAAATCTTTCACATGTCCAGCATCGTCTCGCATTAAACGCAAGACGTCCAGATTGCAATATAGCAGCAATCTGGTTCACTCCCTAGTCTATGCGACTGGGAGTTGTCATAAACAACCAAATGACCATTCCTGCTGGTGCAGGGAGCCGTTTGGAGTTCCAAAAAATGTGGAAAAATCGTCCACATCTACGGAATCGTCTCGCGTCAGCCGCGAGACGCCCAGCTTGCGATATAGCAGCAAGCCAGTTCACTCCCCAGTCTATGCGACTGGTAGTTGTGCAAATCGATCAAACGACAACTCCTGCCAGCACAGGGAGCCATTTGTGATCGCAAAAAATGTGGAAAAAACTTTCACATTGTCTACATCGTCTCACATTAACTGTGAGACGTCCAGCCCGCAAAATCGCAGCATGCTGGTTCACTCCCCAGTCTATGTGACTGGGAATTGTGCAAAATAATCGAACAACAACTCCTGCTTGCACAGGGAGCCGTCTTTGATTGCAAAAAATGTGGAAAAAACCTCCACATCGTCGTTACCGTCTTGCAACTATAGTGAGACATCCAGCTCGCCGGCTAGGCGTGAGCCGGTTCAAACCCCAGTCTATAAGACTGGGAATCATCAAAAACCCTCATGGGATGACCCCGGCTTGTGCAGGGAGCCAGTCCTGAGTGGAGGAAATGTGGAAAAAACTTCCACACAACCGACACCATCTCACAACCACTGTGAGACACTCAGCGCTCTGTCTGAGAACGAGTGTACACACTCCAACATGGATATAAAGGCCATGTCATCCAGATCGACACAGACTCACAGGTTGAGCTCACTTCCGGACTGTCCTCAGATGGCCTCGGACCCAGCATGGACACAGCAAAGGGACCAGGTGCAGGAGGATGGGGAAGCTCCCCGAAGTCGATTGTCCAAGAAACCTCTGGACTTTTTCCAGGTCCCATCCGAATGGAGGACAGGAAGTGATGAAGAACTCCTTCTCAGGCTAAAGGCCTGAGAAGTAATAGGAGAAAAGGTCAAGGGCAGATGCTCAGAGAGCACAGAGGCTCAGGGGAAGCCACTGCTGCCAAGGCCAAACCCAAAAATTTTTCCAAAAAAAGCGAAGTCACCAACTTCGGATGAGGTCACTGAAGTCTGTAGGAGTGCAATGTGGCAGAAGAAGGAGCCTAGTAAGGAGGACCCACAAATGAGCAGGCAACCATCAACACCAGGCCCCATCTTAGGCAATAAATGGCCCTCCTTGGTCACTTCACCCAGGCAAAGGATAAGTGGAAGTAACCTTCCGCAAATCCCCTCCAGTAATGGTGGAGAGAACCAAACAAACCCTCATGAAAACTTCACAAGGAAAACTCCCAGCAAAACATTGATAATGGGCACCTCAAAAGATGGTACCACAAGGCCACATGGATGGCCGAACTTCTAACTTTCACCCCGCACATAGACAGGGTGAAGTGGGACTGGTTAAATAACGGTCCTACTCGACTCCCTGACACAAAGTGGTCAGGCGAAAACGATACAGAAATTTTCTGGCAGTGGTACACCACACTGCTAGGATTCCTCACATCACGAGGATATAGAGGCGCACACTACAATGAAATCCATCTGGATTGTCTCATTGGTGGATTGGCAGAGCCTGCACTCTCACACGGACTAAAACTCCGTGAAGAAGCCCTCCTTAGAGATAAAGGGGGGAAATTTCTTGAAGTTCTCGATACTCTAATCAGGACATATATCAAGGAGCCTGCCACATTGAAGGTGATGGAAAAATACTGCAATGTAAAGTACAATGCAGGAAAAGGACCCAGACAGTCCTACCCAGAACCATCGCTTAATGCTAGGTTTCTGGAAAACATCCTCCCTGAATGCAAGGAGGAAATAATCAAAATGGGATTCTCCTCTTTCAGGGAGATGTTCAGAACAACATCTCGCATGGACGAGATAAAAAACAGGCTGAGGATAGCTCCAGCCTACAGGCCAGAATGCTATCCCAGACCTGAAACCACCATGACCACAAATCACGAAAAGCCCAACCAGGTGGGAAAGGAGAAACATGCAGAAGCAAGAGCCAATGTGCAAGACCCTAAACCCAAATGGAAAGGCGAATCCTCCCTGAAGCAGTCAGGGAACACCGACCAAAGGCCAGTACAAGTACGCAATAATTGCGGAATACCAGAGCAGGCAAAGAGCTGCCCTGAGCACCAGTTAGTAGGAGACAGAAATCCAAGGCACAGGATCACCAGGGAAGTCGACTACAAAACAGAAGGTGAAGTTGGAGATGACTCTGATGAAGAAGAACCGGAGAATATCTCTGGTGATTTCGAAGTGGAGGACACCTCCAATGACTTTGAACCAGAGGACCCAAACAAGGGACCTCACTACTCGCCCAGAAGAAAGGGCAAGGACATCAGCGTTGGGACCACAATAATGGCCCCAAGATCCAATGCCATTGAAAACAATGATGAAAAAAATACACTAAAACTGGCGATAAGCCAGACCAAAAAAAGAACTACCAACTCTTTGGTGACGACACCAAAGAGGGATTCCCCTGAGGAAAGTCACTCAGAAGACAACACCCCCGAGAAAAAAACCTCAGAGGGAGACCCACTGAAGGAGGACCCTTCGGAAGAAACCACCCCGGAGTCTCCAGAAGAAGACAAGCTCTGGGTGGAGTTTATACTTGGCTGGCTAGTGGCCACAATCTGCCCTCTCCCCAGTAGAAATACTGGGCTGCATCATGCACAATTGGCCGACAAGGCCAATCAGCCCTCCTCGTACCTGAAGGAGGACCAAGAATTGGCAGATAAGATCCAACCCAGTCCACACAATCTTGCTGCCAACTATTGGCAGCCTTCCTCTCATACCGAGAGGTTTTTGAAGGTCTACCCGACCATTGACCTATAGTAATATGCTATAGTTTAACTCCTCAGACTGAGGAGACTCCATTGTGTCTGGAAGTGCTCCAGGCCCTCTTTTTTTTGCCTTGTTTTTTTTTTCCTTCTTCTCTGGCTCTTTCCTTGGGAAGGCCATAAACATGGTGAATGAGAAAGTCACCGATGCTTTGGTAGAAATACCAAAGAAAGAAACAACCCAATCCTAGCTCAGAGGAACTGGAACTCCCAGATAAATACCATCTGGAAGGCAATTGCTCGAGGAACCAAACTCCTTGAACTTGCAAACAGGGATAAAGCTGAATAACTCGGCCCAACCTATGCGATACTCATTTTAAATCCATTTTAATTATAAATTTGCTCTGTTTTGAGCAATACAACTTTTGTACTAATTTCCAAAGTCCTAATGCCCCTACAGCATTGGTTTCTCAGACTTTGGTTCTCTATTCCATCTTCTTCATGTCACAAGTGTGTGACATTGAATTGCGTCGCAGAGCGTGACACTTAGATGTGTCACAGTGCATGACAGAAATCCCTGTCATGCCCCTGACCGAGTAACTTCGGGTAAAGCCGAGCAACTCAGCTTAAGTCACCTGACATTCATCATGGTGTCGAATTGAAAGGGCAACTGTGTGGTCTCAGGTTTAACCCCACTTATCAATGGCGGGGAAAAACTTGGATAAACATCTGAGGGATAACAATAGGGGAGAAAACATCCCTAATACAGTTCCTTGATAGGGGAATTCAGTTTGCTTCCGGTGCCAGCCTGAGACCTCTGGCTGACCACAAATGCAAACAGATCAAACTGGCATTAGAAGACCAGTTGTAAGGAGTCACCATAGGCATCATGCCTATGAACCTGAGATACTCTTGAGACCAAATAACCTAGAGGAAGCTCTAGGGGGGAGTACCCAAACCCGGGAAGCAACCACATCCCAACAGACTTGGGATATGATTCCGTCCAAGGAATTGGACACAGGCAGACACAACAATGTCCACCTGATCCCATTAAAACAACCATGAATGCATTAGAACTAGCATTCATGTTTCTTCATGAAGTTGTATGACTTCACAGACTACCACACTCGATTGCATCAGATCGAGATTCAAAATTCATGACAGAAAGTGGTACAGATACTACACGCGATGGTCAGACCAGATCAACGCGACTGGGCAGCAAAGCTGTCGATGGCAGAATTCGCAATCAATGCAAGCTCGAACACATTGACAGGATTTGCCCTGTTCAAATTAATCTATGGCCACATGCCAAAGATGTGCCTAACAGCACCACCCTCGGACTACCCAGGAGTGAATGATTTCGCCCAAAAGGCGGAGGAAAACCTAATGGCAGCACACAATCGTGCTGCTCAAACAATCCAGGCGAATAAGAAAAGACGCCTGGACCTGCCTTTGAGAAAAGGCAAGCTTGCATACTTATCCACAGATAAGTTGAACCTACCCAAAGGGAGGGCAGGCATACTAAAGCCCCTGTATATAGGGCCTTATGAAATCCTGGAAACATTTCCAGAGACGTCAAACTATGTCCTCAAGTTGCCACCACAACTTGAACAATGTGGAGTCCACCCAAGGTTCCACATATCTCAGCTCACACCCCACAAGCTGAATGACCAAGAAATCTTCCCAAATAGGGAAGTGAACATATTTTATGACTTTGGGGGAGACCCCGATTGCGAAGCAGTAGTTTGCGAAATCTTAAACCACGCATGGGTTCATGACGAACTCTGGTTTAAGGCCAAATGGGAGCTAGGGGACACCACATGGGGACCCCTAGGAAATCGTAACGACCTCGTCCACCTGGACGAGTACCTCACATTACAAAATGTGAGGGAACTGGAAAATCTCCCGATCTAAGAAGATATGGAACTCTCGGCATCACTACGCCCCCAAAAACAGAGGCGGAAAAAGTGAAGCTGAAGGGCTATCACCCACAGCCAAGAGCATGGGAAGATTCTGGGTGAGCAACTTGCCCAGACAGCCACACCATGGGCTAGACATCACATGGGCTAGGCGAGTAACTCGCCTAGACCACATGAACCCCAGGCTCATGTGTAAAACCATATGCAGTACAAACTGCACTGATGGCACAACAAGCGCCATTCCAGGGGCAGCAATTGCTGCTGCAGCCCCAGGCATACTCCCCAGGGAACTTCCCTGGCCAAATCACTCCCTGGATCGGCCAATTTGGCCCAGATCCGACAACCCAGCCAAATATATGCTGGGAATCAGCTATTGCATCAGCGGTAGCTGCCCAGACAGGTCAACTTTGTCAGGAGTTGAAAGAGATAAAGTCCCTCGTAGGAGGGAGACAAGGGAGCGACAGCGGCTCCTTGTCCAGGCCGTCCAAACGGGCATGGTCTGACAACTCAAGGGTGTCAGATGATGCCTGCGATAATTGCGCCCATTGGAGGCATGAATACAATAGGGCATGCAGAGATGCTTCGGCATCTTTGCCTCTCTGAAAGACACAGAGAGAGAAGTCGACCTCCAGAAGAGGGAGATTGAGTTGTTAAAACGTAAGCTTGAAGAGGCATGTGCACTGGCAGACCTCGCTGCCAAACCCATTATGATGGGGGCCTCCCAGGTCAGGGGGAGGGGATACGGTTCTGGGCATCATGAGGCACGACCCCATATGGGGACTAGTGCACCAAGGGGTGGGGCACCGACTATCCCACCACCCCATGGGCAGGCAACCCTGTCCGGGTTGCATAAGGGCCCACCCTCAGGAGGGCAAACCCATGTCAAGGGGAGATGGGAAGATGGTAGGCAGCCAATGACAGACCCCCAAAAGGGGACCACTACCAGAGGCAGCGGGCCGCCAAGTACCATGACACCCTATGGGTAAGCCACCCTACAGGGAAGTGTCCACATGCTTTTCGAGATGGCCAAAGCCAACAAATTCTTGGCCCAACCCAAGCTGAGAGCAAGCTATCACCCCTGGTGATAGTGGACAACACAAGCCAACTCCGAAAGGAGTTGGATGAGACAGAATCCCTCATGAAAGGGAAACGAGAGAGCAAGACAAGCTCCTCACTCAGGCCATCCAAATAGAGACGACCTGATTACTCAGAGGTGCCAAGAAATGCCTAGGAGAACCATGCCACCCAGAGGCAGGAGTACAAGATTCGTATAGAAGTGCGAAGGATTACCTCTCTCCAAAATGAAGAGAAACCGATTTCCAGAAATCAAGGAACTTGAATGTGAGCCTGAACTCACTTGCGCACGGGCAGAATCCCACTGCCAAGTCCACCATGATGGGGCCTCCCAGGTTAGGGGGAGGAGATGTGATATTGGGTCTCAGAAAGTGTAACCCAGACAGGGACCAACACGACTGGCATGGGATACCACAATTCTCGCTACCCTGTGGGTAGGTGACCCTGTCCGGACTGCAGAGTGGTGCTCCAACAAGAGCACAGACCCAGGTTGAGGAGAGGAAGGAAGGCAGTAGGCAGCCAATAGCAAACCCCAGGCTGGGACCACTGCTAGAGGTGGCAGGCTGTCAAGTACTTTGACACCCTATGGGCAAGTAACCTTGGTGGGAGGCGTCCAATGCAACAGGGAACTGTTCAACCGAGATAAGATAGATCTCGGTCCAAAAATCCTCACGAACACTGGGGAACACAGCATGGGAGCTGTGGCAAGAGGCAACAGCCTCCAAACAGCACCGGAACAAAGTTCCGGGGACTCATGCTGGCCATGAAGTCGAACAATCATTTGCTCCCAAACCAGGAGCAACTAGTACTCTGTCAAGCTCCGCACTTGGCAAGGTGGCTCTAACCACGGAAAACCATCCAGCTAAACAGCCAGATGAACAAACGAAAATCCAGAGCACAAATTTCTCTGGCAAAGTGGAAACCACTTGTCAGGGCACAGCCTAACCGGCTACCCTGACCCCCTATGCTGGAAGGGAGTTGCCATCAGACGATCCGGAGAGATCCGAAGAACGCAGGTAATCTCGCTTAGCTCTTGCCTAGCATCCTGCTTCTATCTTCCGTCCACATGTCACCCCTTTCCCACACCTCGCTTACGATTATCCGAATGAATAGTTATCTTTTCATGTCATCATTCTATCAGCTGTTCCTTATCTCGTTTGTAGCCACACTCTAGTGGATAGCGGTATCCATGTATATAAGCCCTATCTCCGCTGAAGGTGGCACTTCAGCATTAACAATGACTAGGATTCTTGGGAACACCTTTATCATCATGAACTGACATGCAGTCCCTGACACCACTCCACTCTTGCGAAAATGCAAGAACTCGCACACAAAACAGTATGCGAAGCACTGTAAACAATATTTTACAGACCTAAATTATCAATTTGAGGAAACACAGGCTGAAGATGCAAAACATCTTTGGAGAATTTCCCATTGGGAAACCTGACATTTTAAGGACTTATCCCTATGTATAACACTGCCCACTTTAAAAGATGTTCACTCCTTTTCCTTTTCCTTTTCCTTTTTTTTCTTTTTATAACTTGATGTACAATGTTGCCCACTTTAAAGTGGCAAACACATTCCTTATTCATTATTGTCAGGGCACATCCGCCTGACCCCACGCCGCACCCCGCACCGTACCGCACTACCCCATTATCACTCCCCACCTCCCCTCCCCCATTTTCCCCCTTCTCTCTATCTCTATTTCTATTTCTATTCTACGGTTGATTCCCCTTTCTCCATGTACTACTACATGCCTGACCCCGCCCCCCTGATCGCTGCACGCACTGTGCACACTCCCGCCTACTGAGCGGCCACCTCTGGGTGTCTCCTGGGATCTCCTGTGGAGACACCCAGGGAGGTGCGGCTGTGTGCGGAGATGACGTGGCTTCCTCCACGTGACCCTGGCTGCATGTATATAATAGTGCCTGGGGTGGGAACAGAAGAAGCAGCCTTCTTCTCAACTTCCCACTTCAGGTAAGTACTGTAGCTTTTCCCTTTTAATGATAATCTCAACTTCCCACTTCAGCTTAAGTGGTCAGGGACACTCACCCCATGACGG